TAGTGACATGGCGACCCGTGGTGACCTCACTGACCCTCCCAGCTATCCATGAGCTAAAATCCTATATTCCACTTCCTATCTACCTGGCCTCTCGTATCTTTCCTTATGTTTCTACTCTTTTTCCGGTTCCTAACGTCCAACAGACAAACGGCACCAGTATAATTTTGGCTAAAACCCCTATTTGTACCTTTCATTTATTTTTTTTTCACGATCAACACTTTTTAGAATTTTTCTTTCTTATTTACATCTTTCACTTTTCAAAACTCGTGAAAAATTCAATATTTTAACGGACCGTCATGGCACAGTTAAAAAATGCACTACGTGGCACATACAACGTTTCCTTATTCGTTAGGTTCAAATGTGGATCTGATTTTTGATGATGTGGCTTCTTTACTGCACACATGGACGCCACGTGTGCAGTGGGGCCCATTGCACGGGATTTTTCCTGCTTGTCCCCGCGTCCTCACCAAAAAAAAAATTTAGAACAGGAGTTTTGGGTTCCGGAACCCGGAGCTGGTTGTTCCCGAACCCAGAGCTGGGTTCCTCGTCGTGAGGAACCCAGCTCGGGTTTCTCACAAGGAACCCAGCTTTGGGTTTCGAAACCCAAAGCTCCTGTTCTAAATTTTTTTTATTTTTTATTTTTTATTTTTTATTTTTTTATTTAAATAAGTCACATCATCAAAAAAAGACATCCACGTTGGATTACTAACGGTACATAATGGCCACGTCAATTTTTGAGTGCCACGTAGTACACTTTGTAACAGTACCGTAATGGCGCGTTAAAATGTTGAGTTTTTTACGGGTTTTAAAAAGTGAAAGGTGTGAATAGAGAAAAAAAATTTTGGAATGTGTTGACCGTGAAAAAAAAATAAATAGAAGGTGCAAATAGGGGGCTTTGACCATATAATTTTAACAAGAATTGTTTTATATAATTTGACTACAATATGAATTGTACCATAACTAATTATTAAATGGAGAGTATTTTGAATATTTGGTTTCGTTCTAGTAGCATGGATTCTAAGTAGGGGTGGGTATTCAGGTGGATAATCAAAGGATTACCCAAAAATTGAACCAAAAAAAAGAATTTGGTTTCGTTTCAATGATTTTCGGGTTTCATTGTTTTGATTTTCATATCAACCAAATAAATTTTGATTTGGTTTCGGTTGAAATTTTCACAAACTAAAAACCAAAAATGAACCTCTTGAAAATCAAAATTTAAATAAATATAACAAAATATAATAAAATATGAGATAAAATATAATCTATTCTTGAAAAAAATTGATTAATATTTATTTAGTAAAAATCAAAACCAAACTGATTTTATTAGTAATTGAACCAATCAATCTATGAAAACTATGATTCGATTTCGATTCTCAAAATTGAAAAAAAATTTTGGTTATTTTAAAACCGGTTTCGATTTCAACTAAAATCGATTTTTCCCCACCCCTAATTCTGAGTTAGAACCATTTACCTCATGTAAATGATGTGTTTGACTTCCACGGATCTTATTTTTCCTTTTCCCACTTAACTAATATATGTAGCTATTTCAATTTGGTAAAAAAAAAAAAA